CCATATTTCATGCACTGAGATGTTACTTGGACATTGCTAGACTTCACCCTCATTTTAGTGATCTAGTCTTTCTTGATAGAAGATGGAAAGATGAATGGATTGGCACAGCAATTGGGTGGCTCCAAGTAGCTATTGCATTGTTACAGAAGACAAGAAAGTCAAACTTTGGTCCCTCTTCCCCCATAGCCCAGGCTGAGACTGCTTTCTTGTGTTTTGCCCCTCAGCCTACCTTGGACTTCATCTGATGAACATTTGCATGTTTCATCAGATCTGAAAATAAAGTTATTCTGTTGGTTAAGTCATGTTGATTCAGTAAATATTTCAGAGTTACACATTTTTCTTCACTGTTGAAGTCCTGACATTAATGTTGGTGGTTACAATAGTTCTGTTTCCACTATTTTTATCCATATTTTAAAAATACAGCTTTCATGTTGCTTAAGCTATGTTCCTTGGAGACAGAATACATTTTATCTCATCTCTGCGAAGAGCAGATCCTGGTTTCTACATTACGGAAACTTTACTTTATTAGGTTTGACTCAAAAGAATTAGTAACTATCATAAACTCTAGACAATGTTTTGTATTAAGCAAAAAAAAATACAATTTATGCATTAGTTGTAAAAAAAAAAACACTTTTTCTTGACATCCAGCTGATGTAGACTCCCTCTGCTCACACAGATTTTGCTTTTTCTGTCTCAGGTGTTAAATACAAAAAATAGACTTGGTAGAGTTGTCTTCTTGTATGACAGCATTGTCTGGGTTTATTAGTATGAGAGGTATAGAAGCGGTCAATATGTGATTTCTAACAAAGTCAATATTAGAAAATTTAGATATCTAAAATGAAAGCATGCATAAAGTATAACTGTCCTTGACCCCACAGATGGTGGCTGGTATTGTACATGTGAAATTCTATTTTTAAAATCCTATAAGGGATGATGAAATGGAGAATAAGCAGGGGATTGGCCATGTATTTTCTGTGAAATGTGGGAGGCTGTGGGAAACTCTACTATGGAGGGTAACTGATATTCTTACTTGCTATGAGATACCAGAAAAAAATCTTTATATAAGGAGGTGGTTGTGGTGACTGCAGAAACTCAACCAAAGAGGAACACTTCCCCAAGAGCTAGCTTTGAAATTGAGAAGTTGCTTCAGGAAGCACATAAAATTTACTTATTCTCTTGCTATCTAACATTAAAAAGTCAACCATGTAGTAAAGCTGCACAAGGTGACATGATCACTACTACAGTTTGTTGAACAGTTATGACATGCCAAGCCATGCAGTAAGTACTTTACATGTATCATCTTATTTAGTGTCTGTAATTTTGCAGTGAACTAGGTGATGTTGGTGATGTCAGATAACATATGAGGAACCTAGAAAATTATTTCAGTATACAGTGAATTTAAGAAACATTCATTGCTAATGAGAATTAAGTTTTTGTCTCTATTTCCTCATGAAAATTGGAGAGAAAACAGAACCTGCTAGTTAGAATCCAAACCACTTGCAAGACATTCTGCCTGGGGTACTCTCCCTGTTTAATCATCTATCTTTGAATGAGCCATAAGCTTCTGAATATGATGGCATGTCTAACATAGGAACACTGTCTGTTACTACTACAGTGTGTCATGTGATGGACTGTGATCAATAAATGACACAATGACATAGCAACAGGAGAGTGATTCTCCTTCTGGCTTTGAAGAAGGTGCTGCAATAATTTGAGAAGGCCAGGTGGCAAAGACCTCTTAGAACCTGGGGTGGCTTTTAGAAGCCTAAATTGCTGTGCCCTGCCTAAACCGTCAAAAAAATCTAGACAGCATCCTAAACTGCAAAGACTTAAATTATGACAATTACTTTAAAAAGCTGGGAATAGGATCCTGAGCCTCACAGGAGATTGCATCCTAAAGATGCAATGAGATCCATCACCAAATGACATGACTAGCAAACAGGGTAAAAAAAAAATTATATGATTTGTGTCATTAAGTGGGCTCTAGTTAATTTATAATTCATCAAAAGAAATCTAATAGAATGATTTTTCTCTTTTCTTCCTCTTATGTATTTGTGTGTATCTGTATGTGTGCACATGGACGTGACAGAGATGATAGATCATCCCAACACAATGACCAAAGCTTTACAACAAGCAAAGTTCACTAGAACTCTGGAATATTCCAAGATGGATTGTGCAATTCCCACATGGAGAACGGATTCTGAGTTCTCAGTGAAATGCTAAAGGCTGGATGCTCTTCATGTGTCTACTGGGAGAGTGACTAAGAGTAAGAAATGTCAAACGGGAGCCTTGTGACAACGTTCTTCCTCACAGGCCTTCCCCATGCTCCAGCGCTGGACACTATGCTCTTTGGCCTCTTCCTGGTCATTTACATTCTCACTGTGCTGGGGAACCTCCTCATCCTGCTGGTGATCAGGGTGGATTCCCACCTCCACAC